TGTGCATAGATTATTAGCTTTTATATATATTTCTAATTCCCCTTGATCTGGAACAGTGCTTCCCACTTCTGAAGCAATTAAAATAAATCACTTTTCCAGATCGAACCTTCCTGCCACCGAAATGTTTTACAAAATGAACTTGTTCCTCCTTTTCAAAATTTTTTTTCCATATTTCAAATTCGGAAAAGTTACTAAATTCCTTGTGTTCGAACAGGAATTCAAAATCATGCATTTCCCTCAAATGAAGCCTCAATTCATGCTGGTTTTTTAAAAAATACGTACATCCTTCTTCTAAACATGAATAACCATTTCCATAGCTGGTACCTATAATATTAAAAACTAAATTAATAGTCACTTACTTTTTGCCTGTTCATCAACTTTATGTATCAGTTTCATATGTCGTTGCATATTAAACTTCTTTGTAAAGGATTTTTCGCAGTATACGCAAATAAAACCTTTAGGATCGTTAACACCATGAGCAGCCGTTAAATGATTTCTTAAGTCGGACGTGGTCTGAAAACGGTTTGAGCACATGTTACAAATAACAGAATTTGGAAACATTTTTTTTTCTTATTTCGAAAGAAAAAACTTTTATGTTATTTAAAGTAATAAAATGCTTTAAAAAACGACTCTGAAAACATCGAAACAAGCAAAGATTAAAAATACTAAAATTGAAAATAAAATTTCAGAAAAAAATTTAATATTTGATCCCCGTGAAGTTTTTCAACTATATATAGTTATCCTAGAAATGACGTCATCTGAAATTATGGAAAGACATCGCCAATAAAGATGGGACTAAAGATGTAAACAGATTTGCTAAGAGAAAATAGCCAATTGCATTCTTATCAAGATTCGCGATAACCTTACGAGGGGGGCGCGAGCATATCGAAAATAAAAGATTTAAAAAACAATTAATTTACTCTGGAATGAGTTAAAACAAAATACTTTCAGACATAATGAAAAATGATGCACTTTTACTCTGATATAATTTATAGGAGATATTAAGTCATCTCTCTCTCAAAAATAAAAACTTCTTCAATACCTAATTAGCTATCTTTGATCCTATAACCAAATAAAAAATCTTTTACTTGATTTGCTATAATCCCATGATGAGAGATTTTGTATTAAGTTTTCTTTTTAAATCTAACATATTACTCCTTCAGAGAAAAAACAAATCCCAGACCCAGAATCGAAAAAATTTAGGAACATAAAAAATTCATCACTGTGATTATTTTTGAAATACTGCACATTATAGCTGTAATCCGTTTTTGCTGATAATCTGTTTGACCTTCTAAGTTATTGGTACAGTTAATTATGACCCCTCTCTTATGTGTTTTTTTCTCATTCAAGGAAGTTGTAAGTAATGTATTTCTCTGTTGCGCTCTTTTCCATGCAAAAGAG